AAGCATAAATTAAGGTGCCGAGTCTATGAACAAATGGCAAGGAGATCAAAATATAGCTCAAATAATAAGAATGAAGTTTTACCAAATTATTGACATGAGTTTGAGTCTCCTTGGATGTGAGGGTAAGAAAAAGGTGGCAGGACCAAGGGGACAAAGGTGAAACAAGATCTACTCAAATGGGCAAAGATGAGTTCAAATCGATGCCTAAATATCTTGTCCAATAGGCAAATCAAAGAACGATCAAGGAGAGCCCGCCAACACCACCATTAGATTCAATTTTACTCGAACTTCAAAACCATCTATCATATTCAAATGAAACTCGATTTCGAATCCTCATAGATCATTATTTATTTCATTCCTGACAAACCGAGCGGCCAATCCCCATACTAAAGAGCAAAAATTGAAGTGTACATATAATATTATGCACCTAAAAAATTTGTTCACAAAACTAATAAATTAAGGCCAAATGCTTGCAAATATTTCATTTTCACATGCTTGCACACGCCAGCACACACGTATGCACACACGTATATACGCACGGAATATGGTGTCAAAATTCGAAGCTTAAACCAAAAGTCACATTAACGTACTAAAAAATTTCAGTAATAAATTTTAAACCATCCTATAATAATTTGATAGAAAATTGAACACTGGTATCTTTCGGCATTATATTATAAATTTAACAATTATTTTTGAGACGAAAAACAGTAGTGGAGATGAAGACATTGAATTGAGGAATAAGTAATAACATAGGAAAGAGGAAAAATTCACCTCCGGTGAATATCCAGGAAAATGTCGGAAAGGTCTTGGTTTAGGTACATTGATTCAGATTTTTTTTTCGACGATGAAGATGGTGATTATGGAGAAACACGCCCCAACCCACATCATCATAGGACGGCATCTGGCCGGAAAGAAATGACGTTTATGGTTAGTGAGAAATACTGATTAATTGATAATGATTTCAGCTAAGCTTAATAACATTGAATCAGCCTTGAGCTGGTATTTAAATTACAAGAGAAGGTTGTAGATTATACAAGTGTAATTGAATCCTAAAAATAAGGAGTTCGTTAGAATAAAATTACAACAAATTGGTGGTGGAAGCATGACAGAAAATCAGGCGAGTGAGCTCCTGATATGGCAATGCTGAGCTGGAATATTAATTGTTGAGCTGATTCTTAACACCCCCCGTCAAGCTGGATGGCAAGGGTATGACTCCAAGCTTGTCCTTTAAAAAATGAAATTTGGAATGAGAGAGACCTTTTATTAGTAAATCTGCAATCTGGTCTGAAGAAGGCACGTACTTCACTTCTAGTTCCTTCCTTAGCACATTATCTCTGATGAAATGTACATCTAATTCAATATGTTTAGTCCTTGCATGATATACTGGATTAGCTGCAAGAGCACCAGCACTCATGTTATCACACCAGAGAATTGGAGTTGATTCTAGCGGCAATTCAAGTTCCTTAAAGAGCGATTGAATCCACGTTATTTCTGAGGCTACTGAAGCAAGAGATCTATACTCAAATTCAATACTAGATATAGCAACCACATGTTGCTTTTTCAATGACCAAGCAACTAAATTTTCTCCCAAATAAACACAATACCCTGTTGTCGACCTTCTATCATCAGGGCAGGAGGCCCAATCAGCATCTGAGTACCCACTTATGTTCATTCTATCACCTTTTTGTATCCAAAGCCCCTGATTTGCAGTTCCTTTGAGATATCTAAAAACCCTTTTTAATGCTTGCCAATGAGTTGATGTTGGAGATTGTAAAATTGACTTAACTTATTTACAGCAAAGGTGATGTCAGATCTGGTGTGAGTGAGATATTGAAGGCAGCCTACAGCACTTCTGTAAGCAGGTGGATTTTTCAATTCATCTCCATCAGTCTTAGATAGAGTCTTGCCTGCAAGTATAGGAGTTGGACAAGGTTTTACATTCTCCAGTTCATATTTTCTGAGTAGCTCACTGATGTATCTTGTTTGGGTGAGGTGAAGTCCCAATTCATGCCAATTCACTTCGATTCCCAGAAAATGATGTAGTTGTCCCATATCCTTGAGTGCAAAGCACTTGTTTAGATCATCTATGAATTTCTGCATCAGCTCAAAGTTATTACCTGTTACCACTATATCATCAACATAGATAAGTGCAAAAATGATTTGTTTTTCAGTTTTAAGGTAGAATAGAGATGTGTCCGCAACTGATTATTTAAACTTCCAGCTTAACAATGTTGACTTTAGTTTATCATTCCAGGCTCTAGGAGCTTGCTTTAACCTATAGAATGCCTTCTCTAACTTGCAAATGTAACCAGGTTTCGACTGATCTTCAAAACCCTCAGGTTGGTTCATGTAAACATCTTCTTCAAGCTCACCATTCAGGAAAGCATTGTTGATGTCTACTTGCCTAATTTTCCAACCCTTTGATACTGCCATGGAGAGTACAATTCTCAGTGTTGAGGCTTTGATAACTGGACTGAAAGTTTCCAGAAAGTCTATTCGAGGCTCTTGGTGAAATCCCTTGGTAACTAGTCTTGCCTTCAACCTTTGAACTGAGCCATCTGAGTTTCTTTTCACTCTAAAAACCCATCTATTTCCTACTATATTGTAGCTTGGTGCTGGAGGAACAAGTTTCCATTTCTTTGTTTTCATGAGTGCATTATACTCTTCCTCCATGGCTTTTTTCCATTCCTTGCTTTTCATAGCTTCATTCACACTTTTAGGTTCTGATGTTTCAGAGATATTATCAACTGATTTTCCCAAGAATATTTTAGGTTTGAAGATTCCTGCTCTTGCCCTTGTGACCATAGGATGTTCTAACACATTCTTTGCTCTTTGTTCTGTTTCAATTTCTCCATCATTTTGAGGTGGTCCAGTTTCTATTTCTGCTTCTTGACTGCTTGTGTCTCTGGCCAGGCTAATGTTTCCAATGTCTATGGCTGTCCGTGGGTCAATTCGGTTGGTTCTGAAGAGATCCGAACCGACCCAAAACTTTTGGATATTTAATAAATGGACCCGTCGGGTCCAAATATAATTATGGAACCGTTCGGGTTCGGTTCCGTTCGGTTCGGTTCGGGACAGTTCCGTACCATAATTAATTTTTTTAATATTTTCAATAACACTACATAAATACAACTAATGACATTTCATACGTAACTTTTACAAATTAACGTAACTCAAATAAAAAACATATAAATAATTAGCCGTCTAATAAGATTAATTCAATGCATACAAATACCAAAAAATATATATTAATATTACAGCAAAACTACATAAAGTATATTCATTTGCTTCAAATTAAAATGGGCTAATAGATTTTAAAAATGATTTGGGCTTTAAAATTAAAATTATGAAATAATCTAATTTATTTAATTAATTTGCTAATTTGTATAGAAAAAAATAAAATAATTTAATTAATTCAATATAAAAAATAAAAAATTTATTTAGTATCGATTCTTATTCGGTTCTTCGATTCTTGGTCTAGACCCGATACCCTACCCAAACCCATCAGTTCTCGATTCGGATAACCGTTCGGGTATTTAATTTATGAAGAACCGCTCGGTTCAGGTTCGGTTCGGGACTTTTGGACACCCCTACCAATGTCATTTGAATCACCATTAATGTCTTCACTCTGAATGTTACTTGAGCTATGAGGTGTATAATGCATTGCATTGTCTGCCTCTGGAAGGACTAAATCAACAGGATTTGACACAGGTTCAAGATGCTGTGACTGAAAAGGAAATTGAAAACATGACACTATGGTTTCTGGTTTTTCAGAATTTGGGTGACTTTGATTTGAGAACATTGATTCAAAGGGAAATTGAAGCTCATTGAAGATGACATGCCTGGAAATGTAAATTTTTCCTGTTGAAGTCAGACACTTGTACCCTTTGTGGGAGTCACTATAACCAATGAATATGCATTTAATTGAGTGAAAACTAAATTTATGATTTTGGTAGGGCCTGAGACAGGGATAGCAGGTGAAGCCAAAGATTTTCAAGAGTTTGTAGTCTGGTTCTTTACCATAGAGTGTCATATATGGTGATTTCATTTTAAGCACAAATGTTGGCAGCCTGTTAATGAGATAGGTGGCTGCTTGAAAGGCTTCCTACCAGTACTTCAGTGGCATTTTGGCTTGTGCTAGGAGTGTGAGACCTGTCTCTGTAATGTGTCTGTGTTTTTTTTCAATCCTACCGTTTTGGGCTGAGGTATGAGGGCAAGGATGTCTGAATTCAATACCCTCTTGACATAGGAATTTTGTAAAGACTCTGTACTCCCCACCCCAGTCAGATTGAAGGACTTTTATCTTCTTCCCAAGCTTATTTTCCACCAGTTTTTTGAATTGGATGAAGACACTCAGAGCTTCTGATTTCAGTTTTAGGGGATAGATCCAAATGAATCTACTGAAGTCGTCAAGAAAAGTTATATAGTATTTGAAGCCACATGTAGATTGAATAGGTGCTGGACCCCACAGGTCAGTGTGCACGAGTTCAAGAGGCAAATTAGCATGTGAAGTTGAAGAGGAGAAAGGCAGTAAGTGAGATTTACCAAATTGACAAGCATCACAGAAGGGGTTGTTTTCATTTTCTTTAAATTTTTTATTACAAATTTTGAGGACCTGGGACACCACTTGACTGGAAGGGTGTCCAAGCCTTTTGTGCCATACATGAACTTGGGAATTTAAAGACTTTTGACTTGACTCTAGACTAGGATTAACAGATAGAGCATTACAACAATAGTTATATGAAAAATTAGGAGACTGAATGAGATGACTCTGAAGAAGATTTTTGGTATTTTGGTAAGGCAAATCCAATTGATATAGCCCTTCTTTAAGCGTCCCTTGCAGCATCACTTCCCTGTTAGCTGATCCTTAACAAAACATCGATCAGAATCAAATTCCATAAAAACTCTGTTATCAGAAATCAATTGAGAAACACTGATGAGGTTTTTCTGAATTTGAGGCACAATAAGTAGTTTATTTAATACAAGAGTTTTATCATTCATGGTTGGAAGATGACTTTTACCAAAGTGTGAAATCTGTAATTTATTTTCATTTCCAACCATGACTTCTTCCTTACCAGTGTATTCGTTGGCTGTGGTGAGATTCTGTTTGTCTGAAGTGATATGATTGCTAGCTCCCGTATCAGCAAACCAGGTTGGGTCATTCAGAGTGCTAGGGGTTGCAATATAAGCTGATGGAGAAGGTGGTTGATTGTAAGATGGTCTCTGATTTGGTGCAGATCCGGTATACCTTTCATCAAACATGAAGTTGCGGATGTTAGCCTTGTGACCAACCTTTCCACAAACTTGGCATGTAGGTCCATCTCCACCATAAAAGGTTCTCCCTCTGTGTCTTCCTCTTCTACTACCTCTGAAGTTGCTAAAACCAGAAAATCTAGCATTTGCAGGTGGCCTGCTGGATCTGAATTGATGGTAGTTTGAACCAGATCTCTGGGAAAAATTCACTGAGGTTTGATTATCAAGATTAATCCCTTCCATTTCATTTCTAATTGTGTTTTAGATGCTCCAATCTGCTTTCAAATGTCATTAATGTCGATTGAAGTTCTCCCCAAGTGACATTATCCCTACTGTTGATTTGAACGACAATAGGCGTATAATCTTCATCTAGGCCTGCCAGAACCTGAGTCACTAGATCAGAATGAAAAATGGCCTTTCCAGCAATTTCTAGGCTGTCTGCCAGTAGTTTAACTTTGTTAAGGAATTGATCAATGCTCAAAGCTCATTTTCTTGATTTCTGAAGCTCACCAACAAGGAATGTTATTCTAGATCTGTTCTGAACTCCATAGCTTTCTTTTACTGCTGTCAACAGCTCGTTCGAGTTCTTGATTCCCATGACCCTCATGGCAATATCAGGAGTCATGGAGGAGTAGAGCCAACCCATTAGTAGCTGGTCAGTTGACATCCACTGATTATACTCAGGATTCATTGTCGTTTCAATGCTAGTAACAGTTTCATCAGCAACCTGTGTGCTAATAAATTCTGGTGAACACAACTTTGTCCTCAAAATATATCCCTCTAGGCCTTGTCCTCTGATTATAGGAAGTATCATATTCTGCCATAGGAGAAAGTTATTTTTGTCAAGCTTAATTGAGACAATTTGGGTTAGGTTTACACCAAATGGTGAGGGGTAATTTCTGCTTTGAACTGCACCAGCATTGTTGCTTGAGAAGGAAGCTGGAGCAGAATTTGCATCAGTGTTTTGTTGGGAGTTGCTGACGTTTGCCATTGAAGTAGCTCTGATACCAAGTGAGAAATACTGATTAATTGATAATGATTTCAGCTAAGCTTAATAACATTGAATAAGGAGTTTGTTAGAATAAAATTACAACATATTGGTGGTGGAAGCATGACAGAAAATCAGGCGAGTGATCTCCTGATATGGCAATGCTGAGCTGGAATATTAATTGTTGAGCTAATTCTTAACATGGTTTGCATGGGAAATGGTAAAGGGAGGGGATTTGAGCGAAGTTTGGAATTCGATTCTCAGGATGACTGGATTTCCTAAATAATACTAGTTAATAGATGGAATATTGATGATGTTATAATCCATTATCCGTCACATTTATCTCTCTCCTCTCTCATAAAAATTGAATTGTTCAATCACATTTTTCCACATAAACCGACACATTATCAATACTTCATCATTATAATGATAAATAACAATATTCTTTCTTGAGACGTAATAGTATATTTAGTTGTAATTAAAAGTTACTTTCTCGAATATAATCTGAATGGTGTACGGTAAACCAAACAGTTTTATAGAACTTTGTCAAACATGAATTAAACAGGAGAAAATAATTAAATGGAGGATACAACTAAGAGCATTAAGCCAACCCTAATCATAATTATTGAAAGACAATTAGTCGACAAGGAAACAAAATCATTCAGAACAGAAGATTGAATACATGCAATTGAGCCATCAAAATTTTCAAAATTCCTGTTATGATCGGACCAATCATTGTACAGATTACTCTGGTGTCATCAAAATTATGGATGACGTTAATATAAAGCTCTAAAGTTCTTTTCATTTGTTTTCGGCAATGTTAAGTATGTTGAACTCGATAAAATTGGACAGGATTGAAGAAGAAAAATATGCAATAAAACTTATCGATTCTCAAGTTCAGTCCTGTTTAGACCGTCGTACTAACATAACATCCACCTGCATGTCATAGTCATCATCTGCATGAAAATTCAAATCTCTCATCAGAGTTGAGACCAAAGAGAATCATGGGGACAAAAATCCATTAAAAATCGAGAAAATACCACTCCACTTGGAGCATGTCTGGCAAAGCTTAAATTATTCACAAATTCCATAGGACTCACAGTTTATAAACACTTAAAAGCACAATCAAACAAGTACTTACATTGACAAGTGATGACCAAGAAACGATAAACTCTTAGCACCATCTACTATTATTAACCTAGAAAAAGTTCTTAATCAACATGCACACTCTAGCTTTTACGACGTCGCGACGGTGCTTTCTCCTTGGTGGGCTCATATGTGAATTTGCTCAGATCCATGTCATGAGTTGAGCTTCATGCAATAGGCATACAAGGTTATAACATTGTTGTCAATTACATATGTTTGAAGCATGAAACAGGCATTGATAATAGTTACCTTTTTGTGCATGTGTTCTTTATATCTTTTAGAGGGGCACGAAGACCACTTGCACGTGAACCAGTCGAGGTAAATCTGAACGATGACATCACTGAAACAAACTTTTCCATTGATTTCTCGGCAATGTCAGAATAATGGCTCAAATGAGATATACTGCACCCAAATTTTCCTTCGGATTTTGTCTCTTCGTCCACTTTAGATGTGCAGGTACCTGAAATGAAGAAATGTATGACAACCCTTTTGCATAATAATGTCTGAACACTGTCCTCAAATCTTGGAAAGTAAGAGAAGTTTAACCACTATATCAAAATTTAAACAGAATAAGACAAATTGATTAACCTATAGAAGGCAAATATGATCTGCATCACTAACGAGTATGAGGCGCACAGAGTTCTTAAAACATGTGATAATAGTAATCAATACGGGCTCAAAATTTTATGGATACACGAGGTATGTTTAAGAAACGACTTAATACCTAACAAGGTCTAGGGAAATTAAGCAAGAAAATTATGCAACACGTTAATTTCAGATAGAGCAATCATCGCTTCGTAAAAAGGACTAGATATACCAAGAAGCATACTAATGGAATTTTCGAAGTTTACCATCTTGGGGTTATCAATATTTAAATGGATCAGTTAAGATATACATATAAGGAAAGGCGCAATTCTGGTTTCAGTACAGCCAAAGACTTAATTCCACAACAGTGTCACCTTGAAATTTTGCATGTAATTCTAATAGGAAGAGACATTACCCGATGTCAGATTTGCACCATTCACTTCTTCCTGATCAAAGTGAAGGAAAATATAAAATTTAGCCATATAACTAAACAAGCATTGAAAACAGAGAACTTGGTTACATTTGACAGAAGGTCTTACTATTTGAGAATACACATAAGCAACTTTTCTTTTCTTTATTGTGCCTTCAGCATAGTCATCACTTGAAGAACTTCCAGGAATAGTATATTCACATGTCTCAGTAGAAACATTGCCTCTAATTGCAAGGTCCTCAGATGTGGAGTCCTGGTTATGCTCGCTTACTGAATTTGGCTGAAAATAAGAACTTCTGACCCTACCCTTTTTGTTGTTGATTTTTGTTTTGCACTCACCAGCATCAAAACCAAACATATGCATATGGACAGCATCTTTTTTTACTAATTCATTCTCTCTCTTGAAATTACCATTATCAGTCATGTTGTTCTGAAAATAAGAACTCTGTAGGATAACTTTTTTGTTTTCTGCTCTACATTTTCCATCAGATGATTCTGAGACAGACTTATATATGTGATTCTCAAATCTGTTAGAATCATTCTGATCCACGTCAATCTTATTTTCTTTGTAAATTTCCTTTGTGGACTTGTGCAGAAAATAGGAGCTCCTCACAACTATATCTTTTGTTTTTGATACCATTTTGCCAACTTCTTGATCTGGGGCACGATCCTTGTGCAACACAACACAAGGCTTATAGACTGAACTTTGTAGCAAGGTATTTTGTAGCATTTCAGTGTCATCTCCAACTTCTCTGTTATGTAGTCCTACTCAAGAGTATAACAAATTAGTAAATTTAATTTCAAGACCGCTCATTTCTCTATTTATAAACAAACCGTTTATAAAAACTTCCCAAACATGCAGTTTAAATAATTTACTTGTTACCTAAAAAATAAAGTTCAAAATTAAATAAACTTTTTCATCGACGTTGGAAATTTATTTTTGAAACTTCTACCTTATAGATAAATAAAGTAATTTTTTAAAAATTATAAGAAAGAAAAAAGTCACATAGCTAAAAAGTTCACTTCAAATTAACTTTAAGCTTAGCCAAGCATGTTGTTGATCTGTAGAAGGACAATAGATATTCTTACCGCCGTCTTGGGACTCCACAAACTCAGGACTATCAGTGTTGACGCTATGTTTTACCTGAAAGTACATAGAAGGAATCAAAAATGCTCCAATTTCATGTGATGCTGTAATGTCAATATTTATGATTTACTTACAGAGTCCGTATGGACATCAAAATTAGGACTTGAAGTTTCATTGCTTGCATTTGGATGCTTAGGTGCAACTCGAGGGGCCCTGAAGTCGCTCTTTGCCTCAAGAGTGGCAAAACCTTAACGTGTCAAGAAAATAATCTAGTGTATTGCTTTTACAGTCACAGCATTATACACGACTTCAATGATATAAATCTGATAATACCATTTACAGAATCCAGAGAAAATAAAATGCAAGTGCGTGTAGTATCAGGTGAAGGCCCCTTCTAACTGAATCAGTCTTTTACTCATTGATCTTCAATAGATGAGATCAAAAAGAAGATGTAATTCTTATCATGCACAGCATCAGCAATACAAGATGTAAAGGAGCATCACAATTCTTTAACCTAAATTTTATGCTTAAGTGAAGGATCCATAAGACATCTTGCAGAGTGTTAATTGTTCAACATACATATATATGGATACAGAAGTAGTTAGTCAGGAGATTTTTCTGTGCAGGCAAATCAAGCTTTTTCCTTTCACCTTCAGGATTGAAATTCTTGAGTTGGTAAGTTCCATTAAGCACCTTTTCAGCATTGCCACATTCTCTCTGCCAAACAAAGAAGATTAAAACGAACCGAGAAGTGAATGCAGACGGTTGAACTGGAAATAAATTAGAGCTAAAAGTGGAGGAACAAACATGAGAGTTGGGTATCTCAGATTGGAATAGTCTAATTTCGCAAATCGCAATTGTATAATTATTTCCACTACAACAGTCATACTAAGTTATGCAGCCAAGCCCTATCCCCACCCTCATCTCAATCTTGGATGAGCTTTTTATAAACTTTGTTTTACTCAAAATACAAGCCTCTATTTGGCAAAAGTTATAAATCATTTATAAAGGTCAAACTTTATTTCAACCACACATTTCAATAGAGCCACAAGTATCATTCACTTATCTACCACTCATTTCTATTTGTTTATATATTAAACCGTTTATAAAGCATGTGGCCATACAAGTGCGGAAAGAATTAGATGATAATATGTATGCCAACAAATAGATGTGGCACTGATTGAGGACAAATTAAGCAAAAGCAACCTAGGTGATTGGGCATGTCTTTCATATAATTAAGAAACTCCAGGTCATGAGATTGATACAATCCTATTAAATGAGTTTGAAAAGAGAGGTAGACCAAGACAAAAGGAACTAAGAGCATGTAAATAACTAGATACATCCACAGAGAAAAAGTAGATACGGTAAACAATATACTACCTGGAATGCTTCTTTAGTAAAAGGATCGAGGTCACCTTGTGCTATGCCTTTAGCTACATGCTGGGGCATTGATGTGATCTTGGTTAAGGCATATTTTCCAATGATGAAATGGAGATGTGTACTTTGAAGATAATTAAATTGTAAGAATAGTCAACATTGATAAGGATATGGACCTAAGAAGTCTAAATTGTCGTCGATATTGTCAGATGGCTCCGATAGGTGTACAATATCTTCAGTAACAGGATCATAAACTCGTTGATGCTGAAATGTCAAAATTGCTTTCTTGAAAGATTCTTCGTAAAGAGGAGTCACTGCAACACTGTTGTATTTCAGATGTTTGATTATCTGTTCAGGAAAAAACAAAATTCGTTAAAGTCAAATTTATTTCAGGATCAACCAAAAAGAGATGGGTTACTTATAATGGATTTCAAATTTCATGAAAAATCAATAAAAATGTTACCTAAATGGTTATTAAAGAAAAAAAATAATATTATTAAACTTGTCTTAACACGTTCCTTAACTCCAATACTTACCTTGTCATAACTTTTAAACTTTTTAACCATGGCATGAGACTTTTTCAGCCCCATTCCAGGCAGAGACTGCAAATAGTCACAACCACTTAATATGCACATTTCAAGAATCATCTTCTGGGTGAAACCTGTTAAATTTAGTTCCTTGTTGTGTTGTAACGTTGAATACCGAAACTCGACACCTTGCCCAAATTTATCCATCTTGTAGATGATCTGCATGCCGTAAAGGTTTAGTCAATAAGATAAACATGTGACATTCAGAATGGATGCATCAATATAACAACTAAATCTCTTTCAATAGCTTAAGTTGCAAGCAATGAAATTAAAGCTTATATATCGAGAATTGAAAAATGAAAACATAAATGCTAAGAAACTCACTCTGGGACAACCAAATGCTATTAAATCTGAGTCTTCAGTAATAACTGCATCAACCTGTTTGCTTACTGCCAAAAATGTCAGCTGTGCGTCTGCCTCATAAGGAGCTACGATAAATGAAACATTCTGCTGCTTTAAGACCTTCAACGAGTAAAAGAAATCTCAAGGTTGACCATTATTTTGGAAGGAAAAAGATCTCCAATTACAAAATGAAGATATTATACTACTAAGAAGTCATATAGCAGATTTAGGCATCATATGATCCTTAAATACTGATTATAACATTGTTGCAACAGTCAAGCATTTCCAACCTGGATTAGGTCGTGGGCAACTGAAGGTGATATATCAACAGCCTTTTGGTAACACTCATAAGCAGCACTCAAGTTTCCATTAGACTCATGCTCCATAGCACGAGAAAGGTTTTCCCTCCTAGACCTGAAGTTCAAAATTTTACCATCAAAATTATTTAAAATTAAACTCAAATAGCATGTAGTAGCCTTGTAGGATACTACTTTAACCATCTAATATGAAATCCAGTTAGCGTCCTAAACCTTCTTTAACATTCCACCACACCAGGGCTTAAAAGCAGCATTATTGCTGCTTGTTTCCGGGAGAAAATAATCTACTGGATGTCAGAGTAAAATCAAAGTTTCATAACATCATACACCACCTACTAGTGTTTTTAAGATATTCAGTTATCACGTGAAAAGCACTACGAGCATTATCAGACAGATATTTATGTTGATATCTGCAATAAATGAAGACCAGACTGGGTATTTCCCTAAAAGCTCTGTTTTCAACTAAAGAGGAAAAAAAAATGCACATTGATCAAGGAACCTTTTGATCCCTGTTTACATACTCAAGAAGCATGACATTCAAGCATCATAGCTTTTGATTGTGAAGATGGGACGGCATAGGACATAGGTGAAAATGACAAAACGACTAATGCTGCCAAGCAGATTTGACAGACAATATCATACCTGGCACGTTTATTCTCTTGGTCAAGCTTCATTGGTAGGGGACCTCCATCAAAAACAAGCACGGGTCTAATGCCATAATGACGCAACAAATTTACTCGATGCATGCAGTAGTCAATATGCCTGGAAGATACAAATAAACCAACTTGTTAACATATTTTTTTTATTCAACTTACTTATTACTGCTTCATGTAATAAACAAATTGTTTTATTTGCTCTTATATCTCCATCAAAATATGCCGTTTTAGCAATCCTGGAGCTAGAATGAACTCGTAAAAATTGCTTTATTCGCTCTTATTCTATTAAGATGCTAAAATATCTTTGAAAATCGTAAAATGTTCTATTTTGAGAGTGAACAAGAAATTGCACAAACCCTCATCATCTGAGGAAGAAATTCTTACACAACTCAAAAGACAGGATAAAAAATAATGCTTTTTTATGGGACTCTTAATGCGTAAGATTTATTTTTTCAAATTTCAAGTAAAATGCCTAAATTCCAGGTCAAAGAATGCAATACATTGAAAGCAAAAAAGCCCATTACGATTTATCATAATTTACATGAAAACAGAATCCTGTATAATGTGTTTGTTTCTACACAATGTGTACAAATAGATACAGCATCCATGTCATGAATTAACAGAAACCTATCATTCCTATCACAAGTATATAAATATATTGATAAAAAGGAGGGTACTTGGAGGTGGGCAGGCCTTTGCAGAGCTCGGTGCTACAAGAAAGAGCGCCCTTGTGGAGCCAAGAATACGTGTCAACGGCAACACTGCAGCCCTCCAGTTCCTTTATGTGTTTTGGCGCCATTATTGATTTCAACAGAGGCAACAGCCCTGTAATTCCCATCTTTGATTATACTCAGAATCTCTAAGAAAAAGAAAATCTTTTTCAGGAAAATGCAAGATTATGGTGAGATTGAAATGGATTCTTGAGGTGAAAAAAGGGAATTAAAATGGGCTCAGTTTTGGAAGATTAAACTGGTATTATCATCCCCATTTTGGAGAGGGAAAGAGGGATGGATTTTACGGGGGAAATTGAAATGGCGGGAAGAATATTTGGGGATTTTGGACAGGTGATTAGACATAGCCCAATCTGAAAAGTCCTGCTTCTATTGAGCCCAGCACTGGACCCCCAGATCTATTATTACTTTTTTTTCGTTAAATTAATAGTTACAAATAGGTAGAGGTATAACAAAACAAATACAATTCATCTATCCAATCAAATGCCTATCTACTCTAAAAATAACTGCTAATATGTGGACAAATTTATTCTTAATGATAAACAAACGTGAACCACTATCAACGTCTCAAAACAAGAATTTTCCCCTTAATCAATGGGGCCCTCACTAATCAGTGTGTGCTGTAAAATGTACAGTCCATTAAGAACTGTACATCCAGCAGCTCTCTCAAAACAAAATTACAATATCAAATAAAATGGTTGCAACTGAAGCCATCGTTCAAGCCTAAGATTTTATACAAGCCTCAATGAGTAACATTTGGAAGATGAAAAAATGAATAAATTTGTCCTAGTTACTCTCGCGACGAAGTGGAAGAGGCGCTTGGCTAGTGGATTGTATTGAAGTCAACTCTCAATAATAGCAGAGTTCAACCAAGAAGAAGAATTTTGGCAAAAATCTCAACCCTCCGTAAAAGTCACGTGTCATCCTTTACATATGGTCTTTCGCCTTCACGATTGTGCGCCAAAACATGACCCGTGTGGCCACGCAACATATTCCCATACCAAAATCATTGCCCCTCGAGTCAGTTTTCATTCAACTGAATGTGACCGTGGAGGACGTCAACTAATGCTGCCACCCACCCAGAAGTTGTTCATTCCCAACTGCATATATTTAGGTAGGCCAATGAACTATATTGAGAACTAGTATTTTGAAAAAACATTTAGAAAATATAAAAATAAATTAAAGTTGGAGAAGAAATGGTGAAATAATAAGATTGAGATGCGTGTATTTCACTATTATCATCTCTTCTAAACCCCTATAACGTAGTGTTGATGTAATTTGGTGAGCACGTGTCTCGCAAATTGTCCTTTTTGACCCTTTATAACATAAAAGTTCGACATAAACTTTAGATCGTTAATTCGATACACAAAAAAACATATTATTATGAGTTAGCATGGATATGTTTAAACTTGTGGCATCACACTAATGCTTCATAGTCGTCATTTTTTTAATCAATTCACTTAAAATTCAAGTGGTTAAAAAGATTATGCATTTATTTACTTATTTATTTATTACAACAACGTCGTTCACATCTAGTAAAATTGAAATTCACAGATCACATCAAGACTCAACATCAACATCTCGGCTACTCAAATATCATATTGTATCGGTTATATAAAAGATTAAATAATTAAATATTTTTTTTTTCAAATTTAATCTGTCGAAACTATCTACGTTTCATTTGATACATTAGATCATATATATTTTTCTTTTTCTTAGTTATAACTTTTTTGCAAATGGAACGTGCCTGGTTAGTCTGTTCTACAGAAAAACAATTAATTGTGTGTAAAGGAGCTCCATCCGTTCTATTTATATAGGATGATTTTGTTTTTAACACGGATTAAGAGATTTCATTTCGTATTGTTGAAAAAGTAATTTTTGCAAAGAATTTTCTATAAAATTGACGGTGATAACTAGGCAATTAAATACTATGAATCACTTAAACTTTACTTCATTCGAGAACTGTTTGTATGTATTTGGATGATTCCAATAAGTACGTAAATTCAAACCTATACAATTTTAAAATTAAGTGGAAAAATTAATCTAATTAGGCAAATTAAATAAGGGTGTATTAGTAAACGAACTAGAAAAATATTTTCTCAATAAAGAGACACGACTATATAAATGAGACAAGAAAATGAGAAAAATCAGCTTATAAAAAGGGGACACAGGGAGTAGTTTGTTTCCCATCTCGAGTGACTCGCAATATTTTGGAAGTTTGGGAAGATAATTAAATAAATAATTGGATTTGTCCTTGCAATATTGAATAAATTTTGTTCGATCACTAAACTTAAAGGAGAAAATTAAACGGAACACAAATCTTAAATTTGTCTCAATTAAATCATTGAGCTTCAATATAATTTAAATGCCACCACATGTCTCCTATTTTGACATAAATTGTTCAGTTGACATTCATAGCATAACTAATTTTCCACGAAATTGCTATGTGGGACACTAAATTTAAATATAGTAGAATGAGGTTACGTACATATCTTTAATTAGATATTTAAAATGAATCATTTTCGTGTGGTAGTAATTTGCACGTCACGCATCAAATAAATTGAAGATTCATTGTGATATCATTGTCAATTACGAGACAACACGCGATGAAATTGTGAAAATTTGAAACTAAAATAAATTGTAGTCATCCAATTTGAATCTAAATTGAAGTTTAATGATTCAATTAAAATAAATAAAATTTAATTACCCGATTGAAATTTCACTAAAAGTTTAATTACCACAGATGATATTTACCCTTAGAATATTATGAATTTGTTTGGGAGGGAATTTTGGGGGAAGAATTGATTTTGAATAGTGATATGATGAGAAATGTGTGGTTGAAAAAGAAGAAAAAATTATTGATGAGATGGAAAATATTATTTTATTGAAAAACGTGTGGTTGAAAATGAAAATTGATTTACTGTAAAAAAAAATTTAAATCCCTACCAAACAAAGACTAGTTGGTTCTTATTCGGTTCCAGTTCAAATACCGAAAATCGAGAAGCAAAAAATGTCCAACTTCTTTTTTGTTTTAATATTGAAATTGATGTACATGGATCAATTAACATTTTGTCACGCCACCCTAAACTCGATTTAAACAAAGCACTAAAATTATTATTGATTCTTGATTGGATTTGATTCTGTCCGACCCATCCCTACTTCAAATTGACTTGGTTAGAAAGTAAGTTGAAACAGCTAGTAATTTACAAATCTGACAAGGTAATTTTGGTAAATAAATAGACATCACTTTCTAATCAAATACAAGTTCTTTCTTAATTAACGGCACGTGTTTTAAACATAATACAGAGTGATGTGGTCGGGTCAAAATATCAATATTCGGTGCCCCTCTTGGGTCCCATGACCTTATTGAAATAAGTAAAACCAGTTATCTCGATCAAATTCTCCACCTCAAAAACCTCTAGAAAAATCAATTTCAAGAAATTATTTTTTCCTTAATGTCCGAAGTTTGATTTGAAAAGGTTGAAAAAGGATGTCTGAAGGCGGCTTGTTCTCAACTTATTCACTCTGCAGTTCTGCAGCTGGAGTTCTAGGTACCTTCTTCACCCCATCTCTTGCTTCTGTGTGCTCGGGATGGGGTGGGTTTATTTAGGGTTTCTGATGTGCTATCATCTGAGTTATTGTTCTACAATAGTGATCTACATTTAGGATTCTTGAAGTTTCAGATTTTTTCTATTTTTGATTTTTGCTTTAATGTGTTGTTTAATATGTACATAATTGCTTAATTTTGTGTTCGATATTTGGGAAAAATGGGTGTTGTACACTTTCAAGAACTCGTGTTTTAAAATAATTTTTTGAAAAAGATTGTCTGAAATGGTGAAGAAAGTTGGGAAATTAAGATTTTTGAATTAAATCACAAAGTCAACTCTGCTGGAAAGTATTAACTTTGTACTCAAATTATGGAATCTTTTATTGCTAAAACGAGAGAGAGAGAGAGAAAAAAGAAAAGAAAAGCCAGCCATGGAGATTGAAGCATGTTTGTCTAAGAGAAAAAGCTACTTTTTTTTGTTTGGAATGTGTTTGGATAAGTTACTTATTCATTTTTAGGTAAATGAAGTTACTTATTCAAAATGACACACATTTGGGTTTTTTTTTTTTTTTACAGGGAACCTCCTGGCTTTTGTGTTATTTGTATCACCTATGTAAGATTCTCAATCTTTCATAAACCACAGGAACAAGTTTTCAAATAATTGATTAATTACTAAGATTGTTTTAAATGTTTATCTTACAGGCCAACATTTAGGAGAATTATCAGAAGCAAATCAACAGAACAATTTTCCGGGTTGCCTTATATATATTCCCTCCTGAATTGCTTAATATGCCTTTGGTATGGGACGCCTATCATCTCTCCCGGCATAATTTTGATTTTCACGGTCAATTCCATTGGAGCCATTTTCCAGTTGATTTACATAATCATCTTCATTTTATATGCAGATAGAACAAAAAAGGTCATTAATTCTCACATTTTGGATATATTTAAATTCATCGTAGCATTATATTTGTTACTTAATTGTGTAAGTTATATATATCTGCGCAGGTGAAGATGCTCGGCTTGTTACTCACAGTTTTTGCCGCATTTGGGGCTATTGTGTTTTTGAGCATTAAAATCTTCGAACCACCAAATCGACAACTTTTCGTTGGATATTTGTCCGTCTTTTCTCTCATATCAATGTTTGCTTCTCCACTATTCATTATTGTGAGTTCATTCAATAACTTAAGCCCTTTACTTTTATTTATGTGTTATCTGTGCTACTAACTTATTATTTTAAACTATCTTTTATTGCAGAATTTGGTGATAAGAACAAAGAGCGTCGAATACATGCCATTTTATCTCTCGCTTGCAACCTTTTTGATGAGTATTTCCTTCTTTGCATACGGAATGTTCAAGCAGGATCTATTTATTTCTGTAAGTGTTTGTACTTGACTATCCCTTATTGCATAATGTACTTTGAAGTTCTTGCATAATTATTTGTTGCCAGTCAGATGTGAAAGTCGATAAAAAAAGAGCAAAGTGCCCATCGATTTATAGTGATTCCTCGTAAATGTGGGAGCAATTTCCAGTTGCGACTGTAGGTTTTCACTGTAACAGAGAAGGCAAATACATGTTTTCCACACCCCTTTCATGCACACAAAAGCATCCCTAGTGAATTGATGCCGCCTTTTTATATGACTCTTAACGACTTCTTGAAAGTGATCTAGCTCGCTTTCCTTGTTCCGGTTCTAAAATTAGGTTCCAAATGGGGTTGGAGCAATTCTGGGGATTATACAGTTGGTGCTGTACTTCTGTTACAGTAGAAAATCTGGGGAAGAGACGCGGAGACCTCTGCTCGAGTCCTACGCATGACTTAGAGAACTATCGCTCAATTGGCGTGGCGGTTTTCTAAAATTTTTTTTTTTTTTTTTTTATGTTGTTTGATTGCATATTGTATGTTGTTGTCGTGCTCAAATTTGTTCTTCGTTGCCCAGTTACTATTCAATAAATCAGATGCGGGGTTGTTCATTTTGGTTGGTTTAATGTTAATAGTTCCGTTTGAATCTGTAATTTGTTTCCCATTCTTGTTCTATTGAGGCTAATCTCTCCGTGCGTGCTCATTTTCGGCGCTTTTTTGAGTGTAGACTTGGTCAAAACCGTTCGTGTGTCTCGAGAAGGATTCGATTCTCGAGAAGTTTAGAGGTACAAAATCAGCTAGTGGCCTAACTCAGTGTGTCATAGGGCAACCTGAATTGTGAAAATTTACTCATAACTTCGATATTTATGAGAACGTAATCTTAAAGTATCATAATCACTATTTTTTTTTTCCCAAAAACAAATTCCTTATTATAGGATAATTGTTTATCGCATCATCGATGTTCTATCATCATAATAATAAATATCATTACTGCCTCCGTCCTAATATTGCAAAATTAAACGTATAAAATAAATCTCAAATTTCAATGTCCCACCATCTTTCGTTACTTGTGTGGGCTAGATATAGATATTGGTCAATCGAGCCAAGGCTGATCGGTATTAGTGGTGGCAATAGGAGCCAAGCTAAGCCAACTTAACTCAACCCTTAACACCCAAGCTTAGGCTACTCAGCTTGTGTCCAAATCCAAAGCACTGCTTGGCCATATGGCTTGTGAAAGCCAACCATTAACCCATATTCTAAAAGGCGACCAAATGCGCCGCCTAGACGCGACGCGCGTACAAAACGTGTCAAAATAGGCAATACGAGTAAAAATGAGGTCAACGGTTTTTGTTGGCCGCCAATGCGCGCCAATGCGCGCATAGGTGAGCATGAGGCGAGCCTAAGCGCGCATTGAGACGTCTAAATTTTATTTTTTTTTTTAATTTAAAAATTAAGAAAATAAGCTAAAAAACAAGCTTACTTTTTTTTTGAAAAAAGTAATAAATTAAGCCAAAAAATCAGCCATCTCTTAAAAAAAAAAAAAAAAGTTTGACTCGACCCATGACTCGTTTCAAAAGAACCTGAACATCCCAAGGGTCGAGCCGGATCAAGCCAAACGCTGTTAATCGATGTCACCCCTAGAGCCCAACAACATTCTATGAAATGGTCCATCAGGGGCTTGTCGGGTCGGCGCATGTGGACCCCCAGGACTTTTGACATTTTTGTGTTGGTAGTCCACGCACGGCAGGTGAGGAACCGGGAAAATTTTCCAAAATTGTCTTCCGAATCCTTTCAAAGCCGCCATTGATTTTGGTATCAAATCTAAATTCATGTTCCCTTTATATTCTGCTTATTGACTGTTGTTTATAGCTAATTTGAATACACGAAGATTATGCATATGCACACTACCTGTTTGTAGTATTGCCTCAAAGGTATGTCTGTCTCTACATATTGGCTAAGTCAATTGATCACGACCATATCATATAAAAAAAAGTTAAAATCTTGTCAATGACTCAATTAGACTCTCTAGACCTGTCTAATAAATACTACGTAATTGAGTTATGTAGGTGGAGAAAAACCTATTCCTAGTAGCCTTGTGGTTTTTCAATTCATCAAGTTACAATAGTTGTGAGTTTTTAATGTCGGGAAACAGTATTCTATTTATGATTAGTGAATATTTGATAAAGATTTTTGTGGGTCTTGTAGAATATGTGGATAAAAAGTTAACAAAAGATATAGGTGTTGCAGAATGTGTGAGTAAAAATGATGTTTGACATGTTTACAAGGCTATAAAAAGTTTTTTCTAAATGTCTCAAAATAGCTTTTTAGATGAATTAGCCTAAAATTATTGTACTGATGTAGCATATTATTAATTTTGGAATACACATGAAGGCAGATTAAATTTGAAGCTTACTCGTAGGGAAAAGATGTTTAGTCGCCTACTATTTAGTGAATGTCCTAGTTGAGCTATCTTGTTGAGTCAAGCAATAATGTTATAGCCTTTTCCCAAAAACTGGAATGCCAAGAATTTCAGCCTTATTTCTAATAAATCTAGGGTTTGGCTATACGAATCTTTTTCGCCACCCCATTTAGCTCATTGTTACCTTTACTAGAAGATCCAAAGCATTTCAATCCTTAATAACCACAACACACCATGAGATTATCCTGAGGCTGCAAAATTACAGTTTCGTGCATATGAAAATCCCATGTAATGCTTATGTTAACGAATAATTTGAAATTTGTAAGACACAAAAAACTGTTCGACTATGAAAAATATGAAGAATTTTGCTACTTTACCAGATGATTTTATCATAATCAAATTGCCAGAATGAGTTGGCAAATTGTGACTGGATTGTTGGAAAATGTTTTTGGCCCAACTACCCATGAAATGTTGTCGAGTGTTAATCTGGCACAATTTTGGTAAAATCTATATGGTAATGTAGCATAACTCAAGTATGAACGTTGAAACTTATGCACAGATAACATGTTCCTCTTGCAGTATTTTGTTCTTTTTCATTTTTTCCTGGTTTTTCTTATTTACACTTTTGCTGTTTCTTTCAAGGAGGCTGTCATTTTTCTCACCATTCAAAGGAGCTTAGAACTTATAAGAAAGTTCAATTTCTCTTGTTTGACCTTATATCACCATTCCTCTCGATATCTTTTTTGAGCCTATGGAGTCAACATCAGAGATAGTTAACTTCGGAAAGTCTCTATTAGTTCCTAGTGTGCTAGAGCTGGCCAAAGAGCCTATTGACAAGATCCCAATACGATATGTGCACCATGACCAAGACCCTCCATCCAATGATGTTCATGTCCCATCAGTACCTATTGTCAATCTCAAGAGCTTGCTTACAGGAGAGTCCATGAATTATGAGCTGGAAAAGCTTCATTTCGCTTGCATAGACTGGGGCTTTTTTCAGGTTTTTACTTTTCCTTTTATTCTTCTTGTATCGTTTTTGCATTGCTAGATCTTAACTCAATGTTGGGACTTGAACTAATAAGTAAAGCAATATGAATTTGATGTCTGGTTTTACATATCTTTAAATCCATGTATGTCAGCATCAGTTTTTCTTTTGAAATTTTCTGTATATGCATGTTACAATCGGAACAAGGCTTAGAGCCTAATTGGCATGGCTTTTGAAAAGTCAAAGACTACTTTTATTATGTTTGGATAATTTTCTTGAAGGGCTTTTCTTTGTTTCGAAGAACTTTCAGATGAAGCCGATCTAATATGACTTCCTATGGAAGCTCTTCTATAGAAGTAGAAGTAGAAGCAAACTCTATCCCAAACAGGCTCTTAGTATGTCAGTGCATATCATGATTCATTTTTCTCAAAATAGATCATAGACCATGGAGTTTCTCTTTCATTGCTAGAGGAGTTTAGAAGGCAAGTCATAGATTTTTTTAATCTTCCAATGGAAGACAAAAAGAAACTATGGCAACAACCAGACAACCACGAGGGATTTGGGCAGCTCTTTGTTATATCCGAGGAGCAGAAGCTGGATTGGTCAGACATGTTTTACATAACAACTCTACCCGTCAATCAAAGGAAGATTGAGTTGTTCGAAAAATTACCTATAAAGCTCAGGTTCTTTCTCTGCGCACGCGTGCGTACACAATGAACTTCTTTTGCTCATCGGAAAGGTTGTAAGCTAATTGAAGTGATTTTTCATAATCGGTGTCTAGGGAAACTATGGAGGCATACTCCGAAGAACTGAAAAAGCTAGCCATGACTTTATTAAGTCTAATGGCTAAGGCTCTAACAATTGACGATAATGAGATTAAAGAACTATTTAGAGATGGGGTGCAATCAATGCGGATGAATTACTATCCTCCTTGCCCCGAGCCTGACAATGCCATTGGCTTCACTCCTCATTCGGATGCAGATGCTCTAACAATTCTGTTTCAGCTCAATGAAACTGAGGGCCTTCAGATTCGAAAAGATGGTAAATGGGTTCCAGTTAAACCACTTCAAAATGCTTTTGTGGTTAATGTTGGTGACATAATGGAGGTAAATTCTCTATATTCTTTTAACTAGCTCGCATAGGCATTCTAAACTGGTCTATGTATGTGCATCAGGAGTGACAATGATCATTAGCATCTTCATCACATCCATGAAGGAGGATGCTCTAGACGTACTTTAATTTGACCAGATGAACTTGTCTTGGTCGGTCCTAAAAAAATAATATGTTGGGAAAACACATAGATTTTCCGTTTCCGCTGATGTGTTTATCGGGTTATTGCTTTGCAGATTGTGAGTAATAGTGTGTATCGGAGCATTGAGCATAGAGCAATAGTGAACTCGGACAGTAAGAGGCTCTCAGTTGCCACATTTTATAGCTCCAACCTCGGCTCGGAGTTGGGCCCTGCACGTAGCCTTGTTGGACCAAAGAATCCACCAGTTTTTCGACGAATGCCCATTGAAGAGTACTTCAAGAATTTCTTCGCTAGGAAACTCAATGGCAAGTCTTATATTGATTTTTTGAAGCTGGAAGTTACAGGCAATGGCAGTACAGATAAACTAACGATTCTCCTCCTTTGAGTAGTTCTTGTACTAATAGCTACTTCCACTGCATTGAACCTAGTACTTGTGTAAACACACACTCTCAAATGTATGTGAATCATTTGACTTTGGATCAATGACTTTTAATTTTAGAAAATTAATGGACTGAAAATAATGAGTAATGTTATTTAGCCCCACTGAGGTTGTAACCCCAATTTAGATGGTTTTAATTTCACTTTTCATTTAATCTATCATTTAGAGCCACCTAGACTGGGGTTACAACCTAATGGGCCTACATAGCATTACTCTAAAATAATTCAACTGCATTTCCCTCACAATTAATTCAAGTTCATTACAATCCGTCTAGAAATGAAATAATTAATTATATTGGTTGAATAATAAGTGCTTTATGTAGTTATAACTAAATAAAATTAAATGGTTCATATTCTTGATTCGTTGATAGCTTATTGGATAATAATATTATATTACAAAATAAATAGACTTCTAATTTAATAATATAATTAAGAATTCATGAGTTACTTACTGGTAACTAAATAAGTTTTAATGTGAATAAATTACTTATTTTGGTATAATTATGATTAATACGTTTCCTTGATTTTTTAAACAAACAAAATGAAAATCACATCAACAATTAATGGAAACTAATTAATAAGCGAAAACCTTCCTTGCCTTTTCTCTTTCATAATTTTTTCGAAATTATGGGTTGAGATGTTAAAATTTTTATAAATAAAATTCCTGCATCCAAACATATTTTTGATAATTAACTTGTTTAATTATAAGTTTGGCCAAACATGAATGTGAAAAATCAAGAGCTGAGAGCCATTGAGTTGCCATCGACACCTACGCGGGGTTTCCTTTCAAATTCCTGAGATCCCACCCAACTGGTTCATCTTCCTTGTACTGTTCTCATTTTGAAATCCACACACGCACAGAGAGGTAAATTCAACACAGCAATCTAGAGAGAGAAGCTCTAGTGGGATAAACTGCAGTTATATCAAGAATTTCAGTAATAAAAAATCATGCCTTCAGGTGCAAAGAAGCGAAAAGCTGCCAAGAAAAAGAAGGCAGTAGAATCATCATCCAACAACAATAACAACTCTATTCCACCGGATTCTACTGCTCAATCTCATGGTATAATTGGTTCTTTACTTTAAACAATCCAATTGAATCTAGCCTATGTTTCACTCAGTTGTTTTCTTATCTTTTTCGAACTTTGCAGTTGAATCTTTTCTGAATTTGGCTTTGTGGGTAAGCCTCTATGCCTGTTGATTTATTTGATTTGGAATCCATTGGGCTTGCCCATCTGTTTCTCTTTACGTGCAGATTAGATTCATCTAGAAGCTCTAGCTTTTAGAGAGGGAACATGAGCATTCATTTAAATGCCTTCAACCATTTTATTATCAATCAGTGTGTCCCCATATGTATTAGTTGATAATGGTTATAAGGGCATGTGTTAGTGTTTCCTCTATTTTTTACTCTTTGGTATGAAGTTATACTTCATTACAGCTTTTAATAGAAAGCATAGATGAATTAGTGCATCTATATAGAACAGACCATTGTATTTCTCAATTGTGTAGTGAATCTTTTTTTAATTTATTGGTTTTCGTGTTTTGGTTAAATTGCTTTGTGGGTAGATTTTGTATTGAATTGTTTTGATGAATCAAACTATGGTAGGGGATGATGATCTTAAGCACCAAGATGATAAAGATAGTGATGGTGTAGAGGTTAGCTCTCCTGCACCTCAGGAACACTGTAGCCACCATTACTCTTTCACCGAGGACGAGGGAGTCGAGGTGGAGCAGGAACTCATCACTTCAAATGTTCCGTCTGATAGGAGTATTTTTCTCGTTGAAGGGGAGTTGAATGGTGAGGATGAGTCAGACCGAAAGGACATAAAGATTGTGTATGATGGGGGCGAGCCGGGGAGTTCTAGTAGTACTAGTTCGGATGATGAGTCTCATGTTGTTGAGGATAGTAAAATTGTCATTGAAAATGTCACATTTGTTGATTCTGCAAAACCGGTCAATTTTTTATCAGAACAACAGGCTGAGGAAATTCATGTTGTTTCAGTCGAGGAAGATAGTGATTTAGTTAAGAAAACGAGTCCTGTCGTCGACTTGGAGAAGATCTCGATGCTGGATGAGAAAGTGCAAGTAGGTATATGTGCTACTGAATCTGAATTGAAAGCAAATGAGATGGAAAAGTTGAGTTATGCAGATGAGAAGGTTATTATTTCGGCGACTATTGTGGATGTGGTATCAGAGAGGAATGAGGATGTACCGACTGATGGATTAATAGAAATTGCTGCTGCAACTTCAAATGCTAAAGAATGTGCAACACAAGAAAATGATGACAAATTGACGCCCTCATACGCTTTACCTAGAGTTGATGCCAATAAAGAAGTAGAACGTGAGAAAGATAATAAATTTCCTGAGGTGCTGGCTACTTTTTTCTACTGCAGAATTATGTCAATCCTTTGCAGAAAATCTCGTCTTAATCTTTGCTATTTCCTTCTGATATGCAGGTGTTGGCAGCACCTGATCCCTGTCGTCCAGTGCAAACTACTTCATGGAAGAGTTGCTGTGGACTCTTTGAGGTGTTGTCTGGGTCCGTAGATAATTCAAGGTTAAGATCCTTAAGCTTCAAACTTTCATCTTTTCATTCACATTTTACAAATATAGGTTTTATGCCACAGTGATTTTAATGTGAACGTTAAACTCATTTTCTAGTAGGTGAACAATGAACGAGTACTACGATATTGGTAAGTAAATGACCGGAAATATCAAACAGATCTCATCAAAATAATTTTGCATGATTTTCAATTGAAACTTCATACAAAACTGTGGGTTTTGTGTGAATATTTGGCTATTTCCACATAAGCATGAAGCATGTTGAAGATTGATGATTGCAGAAGGCTCAGATCGAGTTTCATAAAAAATTTGTGATCGCTAATGCTTTCTCATGAGTTTTGCAGTGAATTGATTTTTCTTTCTTGTTAAGTTCTATCCTAGTTTGGCGGCTTTAGATTTTTGGCTCTGAATGATTGAGTTGTGGTGGTGCGCTTACACGGTCTAACGTGAGTGCTGATGAATGTTTAATGTTGTGATGACTGTTATTTGTACTTCAATGTTGTGATAAGCCTAAAAACTGTAATAAGAGTAACCGAATAGGGGTGTTAATGTGTCAGGCCGATCGTGCCCACTTTAGGCAACTTAGAATTTTATTTTGGAAGTTCATGAAGCATAACAGATTGTTGTTCCGACAAGGATGATAATAATGTTTTTTTGTTGATTTTTTCGACTTTCTGAAGAAAATTATGGAAACAAATAAAAGTGCTTCAGAAGGTAGATTCTCAGACATGAACACTTTTCTAAAAGGCTTAAGCCAGTCATTTTATTTGTATGCTCATTTTTCACACAAACACAATCAAATTACAATAGTGAACCCACGAAATGACAGTCCCTTTTTAATTTTGTACAACATAAATGAATCGAAAATTCATAAATCTAAAAAGTAAATAAACTAAAAACACGCTTAAGACACAATTGAAGACTGTTCTCCATACTCAAAGTGTCCTTACTGATCCACCCCCATGAATTGCAGCTATGTACAAGAGTTGAGTGGCTGAAAGGATAATGATAAATGCTTCCATTGTTCTCTGCATTTTTTTTTTAATTTGTTAGTACTAAATTATCGTTTAAGATTATTTATGTCGATACAAAACCGATATTTGTTGGACACTTACTAGACGAGAGTTTCTGATCTGGAGTTCAATCTCTTTCCATGCGAAGCTGCACGGATAGTTCTTATTAGTTGAGAAAAAGGGAAAACTAAGACGGACAACATAAGACATGATACAATTTTAGATGGAGGCAATAAATTTTGAGTTGTCTTAAACAATTTCAACTGAGAATATAGGTTACCCCATGGCAAGAAGAGTGAGAGTCCAAGCAATGGCAGCAGCAGAAACTGCAGCAGGCAAGCTATCCCTGCTCCAATTACGAAAATGGTTAAATCCAGAAAGGATTGATGCAATTCCAACGACACCAGCAATCATAGCAAATGTCACAAAGAATCCAGTGGCTGCATTTCCCATCGGGAAGTATATCGGTGAGAAATGTGCTGGCAAATCGAATCCAGGACCTGTTACATAAAATCTCAAATGCATTAGTCCAATCATTTTTCATCGTAGAGGTGTAAATCATCTAGGCACGATGCTTTCTACACCTAAAGTTTTCAGTAATGCTATCTATCTAGAACTATTACACCATGCCATGCCATGCCATGCTTGCTTTTGTGCATGTGCGTGTTTGGAGATGGCCTAACAAAGGCCGTGTTGGCCTTGTGCACGCCCAAGACATTCTGGGTATGGTACGAATAAGCCACTCTAGGCCTACTTCTCATGTTTGGACATGCACTTGTGTCAAAAACGCATAACATAGAATTTTCATTGAGAAAGTAAACATACCAATGACGAAACCATGTTCAATGGCCATGTTCATTGCCCAGCCACCAATGCCCAAAACTATTGCATACATGCAGAAATTGAGGACCAAAAGCAGTCCTGCAACAGATTTTAGCTGCCCATTGGCCATTCGTATGGATCTAAGAATTCACAGGAAAAAGAAATGCTAAAAGAAGAAATTAAGTTTTGTGTACAATTGCATGTGTATTGAGTGTTTATATAAGTGCAAATGTAAAAGGTTTTTGGTTCTTTTCTTGTAAGGCTGTATGTTCTAAAGGGTTTTTGTGGGGCTGTAAATGTTATACTTTGTGTTCAAGTAAGGGCAAAAGATACCAGATTCTTTCCTGCCTACCAGATTATATATTCTTTTCTCTTGTTATGATGTTTCTCTAACGTTAGAATATTACGATTAAATTCTTTGTATTTCCAAGTATTAACTTTTCAAGGAAGTGAACAGCATGCTACGAAAACAATCAGACTTTCCCTGCTTACACCACCTATTTACGAAAAGTTCACGTGATTACAAACTCAAAATCTAATTACATATTTTGTCAAGAATCATAATTACTTATAAGTTAGTCAAACTCTATTTTTGTTTATACATGATGTACAGTCAATTACTTTTACCATTGTTTGATCCCACATTCTTTGAGACCCACTACTTAATAAGCAATTATAAGTTTTAACAAAAAAATTGATTTTTATAAACATTTTTAGAAAAAATAAGCAGAAGCAAGAACGATCACGTTGTAAAAAACGTTCTTTTTAATTAAACAATACACATATTAACTTAATCAACATGTCATTTGAGGAAGAGATGAAAATAATACCGTTGATCACCCGTGATGTAAATCTTGAACTCCTCCTTAAAATCATCAATCTCCCAAAAGCTTCATAATTCTTTCTCGATGTATCTCTGATTGCAAGGAACAAAGGAGTGGACATTTCGGATTTGGGTTTGATTCACATACTTAGTTTATAGTTTACTTTGTATTTTCAACACATGAGACAAATTGAGAAGGAAAAGCTCCCAGAAATGTATTTCACATAAATTTATGTGTTATGTGTGTTCTTTTCTGAGTATTTGATGAGTCTTATTTATAATTGAAAATGTAGCTTTATTTTAATTTTTTAATTAACAATTTAATTAAAAAACCAAAATCACACCTATCACTAGGATGAGTGGCGTCATTTCACCGGGAGAGAAAATTTTTCTTCTATATCCTCTTATCAGATAACAATTCAAAATTAGTTTAATTAGTTAACTTTTTGTTGACACACTAAAAGTGCAGCCAATAAAGAACGAAATACGTTCAAACAAAACTTTTATTAAATAAATGTTGGTTACATCCATGAATACAAGAGTGCGAAGTATCCTATGAGCAAAAGTATAAAAACTCCTACGAGTTACAACTGGGGATGAACAATTATGGTCTTTCGGCAGCAACTGTGAAAATTGTAGACTGGGACCAGCAGTCTTCCTAAATGCGTCGTTGCAATGGCGAGCGAAAAAAGGCTGAGAATTATTCTCAACAAGCAAAGTGGCCCAGAAGTATGCCCTCCCACCATTGATGGATGAGAAGAATTTTGCTGTTGGCAAAGAAACATTTCCTATATCTCCCATACCGACAGGCGCATCAAAATAGACAACAAATAGGATGGATCAACTGACCCATTTCTACAGAACACGGAACTAGAGATGAATTATCAAGAT